ATTAGAGAACTCAATGCATGACCAAAGACCTGGTGTAAGAGGGAAGGATTTGGGTTTCTAGAGCACTGGGCTTACTTTTCATTGGGGTGCAGCCTATGTGCTAGAGATGGTTTGCACCTAAATGGAAGGGGGTCTGCTGTGCTGGGGGAGAGGTTTATGCGAGGGTTGGAGGAGTATTTAAACTAGGATCGAGTTCACCAATGCCAGAAGTCTGCCAAGCAAAATAGGTGAGTTGGAAGCTTTGGTGCATGAAGAGAACTAGGTTTTAATTGGTATTGCTGAATCTTGGCTTCATTCTTCATATGATTGGGCTATTAATATTCCTGGCTATGTTCTCTTTCGCAGAGACAGGGTAAATAGGAAAGGTGGTGGTGTATGTGAGAAGTGATCTCAAAGCCTGTGTGAAAGAGGACCTAGTTGATGGAGAGTGTGATAAGGCTGAAGTATTATGGGTGGAACTGCACATGGGGGTGCGTACTACATTGGAGTTCGTTATAGGCCTCCCAGTGTTAATGAGGAGGTGGAAACGCAGCTCCTTGCACAGATCGAAAGGACTGCAACATTGATAATAATGGGGGATTTTAACTACCCAGAAATTGATTAGAGTAAATGGTACTGCAGGAACAGTTAAAAAGGGCAAAAATGTTAATCCTACTACAGGACAATTTTATGGTACAGTTCATAGAGGCCCCAACCAAGAATGACGCTCTGCTGGACCTGGTAATCTCAAAACATGCACAGCTTATAACTTATGTCCATATAAAAGAACATCTGGGTAGCAGTGGCCATAACATGATTTTATTTATTGTTAGCTGTAAACAGCAAGCACATACGGGAAGAATAAAAACACTCAATTTTAAGACAGCTAATTTTCCAAGGCTGAGAGCTGCTCTCCAAAACTTAGACTGGGAGGGAATATTGGTATCGATGAACATAACACAGAAATGGGAGTTCTTCAAAAAGACTGAATGCGGACACTGCAAAATATATTCCCATGCGCAACAAGTTTAAAAGGCTAAAAATCAAACCTATGTGGATTCAAAAAAGCCATAGATAATAAGAAAACAGCTTTCATTAAATATAAAAATGAACACTATCATCGTTTCAACATTACAAAGATATAACAGAATATGCAAAAAGGAAATAAAGGTCGTAAAATTTGAAAATGAAGGACAGATTGCAAAAGATAGCAGGACCAACCCCCCAAAAATTCTTTAAATATCTTAATAGTAAAAAGGTCTGGCCTGAGCATGTAGGCCCTTTACAAAATAATCTAGAGTGGGTGACTGGGGACAAAGAAGGCAAATTTATTAAATACCTTCTTCAGCTCTGTAAATACAAAGGAGCGTGGGGGCGCTCTTGTCCATAATGGGCATCGTATTGACAGCTCCAGATGATCCACATTGGCTCACAATTGATATGATCCAAAAATATTTAGACAGAATAAAGGTGAGTAAAGCACCTGGCCTGGATGGCATACACTCATGGGTCCTTAACGAATTGAGCTCTGTCATTTCAAGCCATTGTTTCGAATTTTTAGGGACTCTTTAATGACTGGCATAGTGCCACAAGATTGGCGCAAGGTCAATGTGGTGCCAATATTTAAAAGGGGTCAAAATCTTTACCAAGTAATTATAGACCTGTTAGTTTAACTTCTATATTTGGGAAGATACTGAAGAGTTTAATAAAAGACAACATAGATGAGTTCTTGCTGGAAAAAAATATTTTAGGCAACAGACAGCATGGATTCATGAAAGACAGAAGTTGTCAAACAAATCTGATTTCTTTTTATGAGGAGGTGAGCAAAACCTTGGAAAGAGGGGTGGCGGTGGACGTGGTATACTTGGATTTTGCAAAAGCGTTTGACACAGATCCCCACACAGGGCTAATGTGTAAGGTAAAGTCTATGGGCTTGGAAAAATCTGTATGTAAATGGGTAGAATACTGGCTAAGAGATCGTATTCAGAGAGTAGTGGTTAATGATTCATACTCTGAATGGTCTAGGGTTGTCAGTGGTGTACCCCAAGGTTCAGTGTTGGGACCCTTACTTTTTAATATATTTATAAACCATATAGGGTCAGATTATAAATCCCATTTCAGTCTATGCAGATGACACCAAGATGTGCAGTGGAATAACGTCCTTACAGGATGTCTTCAATTTACAAGCCGACCTCAATGCACTGTTTAATTGGGCAACTATGTGGCAAATGAGGTTTAATGTTGATAAATATAAGGTTATACACTTGGGGGCTAAGAATATGCATGCATCATACATACTAGGGGGGTACAACTGGGGGAATCAATCGTGGAGGATCTGGGAGTTCTGGTAGATCACAAGCTTAATAACGGCATGCAATGCCAAGCTGCGGTTTCTACAGTGAGCAAAATCCTCTCTTGTATTAAAAGAGGTATAGACTCCAGAGAGAGATATCATATTACCCCAGTACAAATCATTAGTAAGACCTCATCTGGAATATGCAGTTCAGTTTTGGGCACCAAGTCACAAAAAGAACATTGGGGAACTGGAGAAAGTACAGAGAAGGGCAACTAAACAGATAAGAGGCATAGAGGAGCTCAGCTATGAGGAAAGATTAGAGGAACTGAATGTATTCTCTCTTGAGAAGAGGAGATTAAGGGGGGTATGATCAACATGTATAAATACATCAATGGTTCATATAGTGAACTCGGTGTAGAGTTTTTCACCCTGAGGTCATCACAGAGGACAAGGGAGCACTCTTTACGTCTGGAGGAAAATAAATTTAATCTCCAAACACGGAAAGGTTTCTTCACAGTAAGAGCTGTGAAAATGTGGAATAGACTCCCTGAAGAGTTGGTTCTGGCCAGCTCAGTGGATTGCTTTAAAAAAAGGCCTGGATTCTTTCTTGGATACACAGAATATAACTGGTTATGATTTATAACTAAAGTTGATCCAGGGAATATCCGATTGCCTCTCGGGGGATCAGGAAGGAATTATTTCCCCAAATTGGATCATGCTTTGCTGGGTTTTTCCTTCCTCTGGATAAACTGTGGGTGTAGGATTACAACTTTTTTTTTTTTTTTTTTTTTTTTTTTTTTTTTTACTGGATGGACTTGTCTTTTTTCAACCAGACTATGTAAAAAAAAACTAAAAAAAACCAAACCTTCTGTCCTAAGGCGACAACATTCACTTTCTGTATTTATGGGAGGAGCAGCATTGTCACCTTAGAAAAGGATTGCTGAACACTTTCCTTCATCTCCACAACATGGGTGGGGGAGATGCTCTGTAGTTCACAGACATGAACTGGATGGGGTTTTTACCACGGTTTGAGATTTCAGTTCAGGTAGAGCACTGAGTTTACAGCTAAAACAAGAAGTTAGGAGCTTCCTGGATTTCTGGCAGTATCTATACATTTTTAAAACAATAAAACATGAAGAAAAGTGCATGAACTGGAGAAGTGTACTGTAAACCCGTAAAGCACAATGACTGTGGACAGCCTACCAAGGGGAGCCTGTAAATGTAATGTGTAAATATCGACAAGATCGATCATTGGTAAGATTTAAATTAATGTGAACTCATCACAAACATGGAAATATGATAGTAAAATGCATACTGTGAATATGCAAAAACCTTGTAGACAACTTTAAACAGCCATGTCAATTGCCAAAAATGAAGAAAAGCTGAAGGTTTCCCTTTAGAGGAACTTCACCCCAGCGATATTTGACTTCCATTGTCCCTGTGCTGCTATTTTTATATATATTTTTTTTTTTTACTGACCCACCCCCGGTACCCTTGTCAGGATCATCGACAGGGTAAATGATGAAACATAACTCCCCCCAACCTCATAGAATACAGAGAACTATAGTCTATGCTACATGTTGTCCATGCTGCCATCTTTAAACATCCTGCACATGCGCAGATGTGCCACAGGTCTCTGCCATGCACTATTCGGAACCTGACAGAGACCAGCACCATGTCTGTTCCTGCACGGGGATGCCCGTGCATGCACACCGGTTTCTGGGATCTGAGACCTTGCAAAGACCAGTGGAATTTGTGCACTGGCATGGGATTCTCCCACACAGGCAGAAATGTGACACATACTCCCAAGCATGTGCAGATGTCACCTCCCAGTGTTGCTGGAGACTTCCACTGCTGCTCACCTTCCCTTTCTTGTTCCCCCTATCCATTCACAAAACTCCTAGTTAGTCTTCTCCCAGAATGCAACACATTCTGTGAATGGGCAGGGAGATCCTGTCATCCCTCTGTTCTCCTCCATGCACAAAACGCATTGCATTCTGGTGGAAAAGCACTAGGCGTTATAAGAATTGACAAGGGGTCAGGGGAGCCCTTCACAGTCGCAGCTGATGCCATTAACCCCCTCTCCCTCTAGCATCAATGAGAGGTGGAGGACTATTACAGTGACCAGAAGCCAGTAGAACATGGGATACCGATTAGAGGTACATTATTACACTAGAGCTGTATGCCCAATTTCTTTTTTCATTAAAACGTCAGCTTTAGGCAATTTTCAAAGTATATAAAAAAAAATAAAACTGCACATTTCCTTTACAAAAATGGTAAAACCAAGGCTAATTTTCGGCCTTAAATCTTTATATATTCTTAAACTGTGGAACCTTGTATTTTACATCATCAATAAACACAGCAGTTCAAAGGTCAAATGCCATAGTGTCATACAGCGAAAACACCACACTTTTTTGTGCCATGTTTAGGAGGGGACATTTACTTGAAAAGAAAAGGTCAGAGAAGGTTGAATTGATTACTCGAAGGCCTTGCAGCACGGAACATCTTCCACGCTATGAGCAGGGAAAAAAAAAAGAAAAAAAAAACACCAACTACAAAAACACGGATGTCAGCCGCCGCTTTGGGTGTTTATGACATCACAATGTGCATTACAAAAGGGAAAATAAATGTTCCCATCCCGGAAAACAAAACTTCAGATATTTTCTTTTGTAAAATATTCAGCTCTCTGAATCCCCTATCCCCATAAGAACTCCAATATTCTTACCCTTGTTCGGTCTTCGATCTCAAACACACGAAGTTGCATGGGAATATTAAAGCTGTGCAGTATGTTGCCACCAAACACCAAAGAGTCTGCTGGAGTGTACACGGCGTGAATCCATCCTGAAATTAGAAAGTAAGCAGCTGTAAGGAGGGCTGCAGATAGAACGTGTCATCAGAGCAAAGGTGGCCTGCGGCAGGAGAAAGCTGGCTTCTTCCAGCAACTTGATCAATGGAGATCTGCACATTGTGCTTCATGACAGAGCTTACTGCCTTAAAGCCGCTCTCCCTCCTCTACAGTGGCTTCTCATTCAGCACTGCAGCTAGAAATGATTTTCTTCTATGCAATGCAGGGAGGCTGCCTTTCATCAGCTAACCAGCAGGAAGAAAACAGGCGGACTCTCGGACCAGTAAGAATGAAAGGATTCACTCTCCCAACCCCCTACCCGAGGGGAAAAACACACATTTGAGCCATTAACACGGTCTGAGCTATGCAAGCTTCAAGGAAGCAATTCCAGGGCAGTTCATAGGGAAAGGAAGTTAAAAAAAAAAAAAAAAAAAAAAAAAAAAAAAAAAAGACAGTGCGGAAAGGATTAGATTTTATTAGACGCTATCCACAAAGGACAGGCTATACACAAACAGGGCCGTTAATGCAAGTCTTCAACTACTTTTAGGTAGCAGCATGGCCAAGTTTTTCTTTTGTAGTTTGTGATCATTAAGAAAATGTTACTATTATGGTAAAATTAGCAGTGAACTCCAACCAAAAGAAAAAAAAAAATTTACCCTTCTAGCGGGGTGCTGCAAATGCTCGTAATCTAGGGGAGTAAGCTGTAACAACCAAGTTGCCCATACACCATTTGAAAATTCATCCAATTCAGCAGGGGCCAACCAAACATCGATTTGTTTTATTTTAACAAAAAGTTGAGTAGTAGGGTGTTTTGTTTCTAATAAAGCTTATTTTTCTGTTTCAGTACATTTTTATTGAACAAGTTTTATAGAATCCGAGTACAAAAACATGCATAAACCTCAATCTTATAAGAATACACATCTTGACATAACTATCTTTATTTTGTATGGCAAGTACAGCAAATTGCCCCATGTGAGAACTCTGTATGTACTGTAGTTACAAGCACTGAATGTTTCCTTTGGAGGGGCTCTATGTATTCTAGATATCACCAGGAGGAGGGGAGTCTGGTGACAATTGAAATAAAAATAATGCTGTCAAAATTGTTTGTGGTAGTGAGGGAGGTCCCTATCAAGTACCCCCCCCCCCCCCCCCCCCCCCCCCCCCACACCTTTACCAAGGCAAAACAGTTGTGCAACGCAAAAGTAAAAGACCCAGAGGCTCCATGCACACCGACCTAAAAAAAAACAATGCTCCAACAGGCGTTTTGCCTGTAGAAGCAACCAGGGGCGGACTGACAACTCATGGGGCCCCTGGGCAATAGGGGATCATGGGGCCCCTGTGTCCTTGCCAACACCCAAAAAAGTACCAGGGGCATCTCATGGGGCCCCCTACTGACCCCGGGCCCTCGGGCAGTGCCAGAGTGATCGAATGGTCAGTCCGCCCCTGGAAGCAACTAATATGATTCTATGTGTCCATGCACATTAGGTAGTCTAGAGGCGGGTTTTTTTTTAAGCTCAGCATTGAGGCAGAAAAAAAAACGTCCTTCTGGTTTTTTTTGCTGCCTGCAAAATGCTCTAAAAATGCAAAACAAAAAAAAAAAAAGCAAACCACACAACACACTCCTAAACACTAGTACAAGAAAAAAGGTCTCAAAATTAGCTTTTTTTTCTGCCAAGAGCACTGACTTTTTTTAAGCTGGTGTGCATCGAGCCAAAAAGTTGGAGATAGGCTAACAAAAAGGTAAAAAAAACAAAAAAAAACACCGAAAGGGGGAAAAAAGGAAAAAAAAAAAAAAAAAAAGTTTACAGGAGTAGGGAGAGCAGGGAAAAGGAAAGTATAGGTGAAAGATAAAGAGTTCCAGTTGGCCTGGCACCAACACCTACGCATGAAGTGGAGGATTAAATTGTCCATAGAGGCTCATTGAAACTGACCCCTAAACTGGTCTGGAGTGCATTCAGGTGGCTTTAAAATTCAATACAGCTTTAGAGGGATTCTAAAGTCCAGGACACTGCAGACTAGTTGGTAGACCTTAGTCCAGAATCATGTGATTCGAGGGCATTCCCATGAGAGGGTTGCTAGAGTGCCAGCTAATTCACGACCCTGAAAACAGCGTCTGAGGCACCTTATTTGGCCAGCCTATAAAAAGGTACCATGTTCCACCAAAACAACTGCTTGTATTTGGCCTCAATAAATGAGGAGTTTAGCAATCCTTGTGAGATTGTGTCCCAGATTTGGGTACACTGTTGTGGCTCCAGTGGTCTGCCAAGGTCTTTTTCCCATTGAGAAACATATGGTGGCAAGACATATCACCCTCCAAGAGAGGAGCATGAATGATGTGAATGATATGATCATGATCCATGATCATGAATGATACTCTAGAATCCAAAAAAAGTTGGTTCTGGCCAGTTCAGTGGATTGCTTTAAAAAAGTCCTGGATTCTTTCCTTGATGCACACAATATAACTGGATACTATCATTTATTGGTAAAGTTGATCCAGGGAATATCCAATTGCCTCACGGAGAATCAGGAAGGAATGTTTTCCCCTGCAGGAGCAAATTGGATCATGCTCTGCTGGGTTTTTTTTGCCTTCCTCTGGATCAATTGTGGGTATAGGATAATAACCTTTTTTTTTTTTTGTTGAACTGGATGGACTTTTGACTTTTTTTCAGCCAGACTAACTAACTATGCATGTAACATTCCTCTCCCGCTAGACTTGAGCATTTAAGCCTTGTAGTGCAGAAGGCCAATTTAAAAGGGTAGATTTTTCAACAATCACACATTTTAGCTATAAATATAGTTTATACCTTTCAAAATAATGTTTACACACAGCTAGTAGCAAAGCTTAGTACCATTTAAGCCATCGTTCAAGACATAAATTCACTGTATGACGACAAAAAAAAGAAAAGGACAAAAAAAAAAAAACTCCTCAAGTGTAGTAAATGAAACCTTGCCTCTTTTATAACTAGTTGTGCAATAAATGGTATCACTCCATATTTTCTACATACAACTAGCTGAAGTACCTGTATCTGCCATCCCCTATCATCCATTGCACAGTCAGCACTCGGAGGGAGTGGCAGCCCTAGTAGCCAACCAGGCTCTGCTAACAGAAGAAGACGCGAGGCGAGTTGACGACTTAGGGCTCGTTCACACCACAGAGCTGTGGTAAACTTTGGTAAAGAGCTATTCACACAAAACTTTCATTTCCATAAGACCTGTGTAATGTAACAATACATACGTTGCAGTGCCACCCATTGTTAATAGCACCCCAACAGGCATGTGTGATATATTAAACCGCAGCTCAAAGCACCTATTTTTTTTCCATCTGAACAAGCTGCTTAAACACAATGTGTTAACGTAGCAAGTAAATGGGCCCTAAAAACAGATACATTACTTGCAACACAGTAAGCAACGGGCGGACTGACAACTCATGGGGCCCCCGGGCAATAGGGGATCATGGGGCCCCTGTCCTTGCCCAAACTCAAAAAAGGCATGAAAAAAAGGTACCAGGGGCATCTCATGGGGCCCCCTACTGACCCTGGGCCTTCGGGCAGTGCCAGAGTTTCCAAATGGTCAGTCCGCCCCTGGACTATGCAAGCCTTTTTTTTTGCATTGCCATTAATTTTTAATGGCTCCCAACTGCACCGCCAGGACACTATGAAACACAGCCCAGACTCCATGTTGTGTTGCAGTGCAAATCTGCAGCATGCAGTACATTTGTGTGTGTTGAAGTGTGTAACAGCCCATTCATTTTGAACATAATTGAGTACATTGTAGTGCGGTGGGTGTACTGTGGTGTGAACCAGCCCTGAGTTTGTTACTGCTCGCTCCAGTTAGCAGGATGTGGGTGGGGAGATGACATCACAGTATTCCTTAAAAAAAAAAAAAAAAAAAAAATTCATCTCCCCGAAGAATCCCCCGTAAGAGGTCGGTTTTCTGAAACATCATACGGACACATCCCCCTATACCAGGATCCAGCGATGTGCTCAACTAAGTGGGCGCCAGGGACCGTTTCCAGTCCTTGGCGCTGGCTGTGGGCACCCATCTGTGACAGGATGCGCATGTAACCTGGGGACACTGCGCATGTACAAGCTGTGCTGCGCAATGTAAATGGTCCAGCAGTCTTCTGGGACCTGTGACATGTCCCAGAAGACTGGGGGGGGGGGGGGGGGGGGGAGGCTCTGGTGAACCCCCCTCCCCCAAGAAAACTAATTTTTCTCCGCAGCAGTTAAGATGCACTAAGGCTACGTTCACAATAGTTTTGTGAAAATTCTGCAAATGGCAGCACAGTGCTGTTCACACTGTAGCGTTAGCGTCGCGTAAAAATTGACGCCTTATGGCGAGTCAGGAGGAGTTGAAGCCTCCCATTCAAGTCTATGGTGCCACTCCTCAAACGCCTGGCAGGCGTTTGCGGGGCGTTAATACCATTTAACTTCATTATAGGCATTTGTGGTGCAGTTTTAACGCTTGTCAAATGCCTATCAAATGCCTCAAAACCACGCATAGGGCATTTGGGGAGCATTTGAGGAGCGTTAAAAACATTTCCTAAACGCCTAACGCCTGTGAAATAATGTAGGGGCGTTCGGCAAGAGTTAGAAATAAAGTCATGTGTGAACGAGCCCTAAGGGATCTTGTCCCTCCTGCAGCCTGCTATTGGACAGCAAAAGAGAAGTGGTACACTGATGAGCTTACCTCTGTCACTTTGCTGGATGTGCGGTTTGGCAAAGGTGTATGAATTACCTATCCTTTGGTAGAAAAGAAAATAGGAATTTTACACTTACCGCAAGACTGGTTTCCTGGAATTTATTACACAGGATTCAAAGACAATTGGGTTATATGGACAGAAGGATTTTGACAGTGGCAGAAATAAAAATGTATATATGTATGTATATATATATATATATATATATATATATATATAT